TGTTTCAATTGAAACACGTTCGGTTTCTTTATTGTCAGATAAATCTTACCAAATTTTTTCCCCCTGTACGACACAAATAGAAACTAAGATTAGCAAAATAGCAAAAAAAAGTTGAATTTTAATAATATAATTCACTCCTGCTTGCTCGTCAAAGTAGGTTTTCGCTACAGGGCTTTTAAATAAGCGCGAACTATTCTCAGAAGCGTCAAAGTAACACGAACATTTCGATTCGAGTTGTCTGCATCTTTAATGTACGTTTCTTTTTTTCCTTTAATCTCGAACGAGCGCACTGTTTTATCTATGCCGACGTGAACTCGTCAGCCATGCTATACCACGGAGTGAAGGGGGGAAGGCAATATTCCATTGCGCTTGAAATCCTCCGTGATATCGCGATAACGGAGTAATTGAGTAATTAAATCAGCGGTCGGAGGAAATCGTCGGAGCGAAGGAAGCGGAGGAAACGCACGACTAGTTCAACGAGAGTGAGCGAGGCGGACATTATATTTTCCCGCCGACGCAGTGGGATAAGAGATACCCGGTGTCGTACTTTATCGCGTCGCTGATAAACCGAACGAGCTTTTTCCCCGTTATCGCGACACGAGCCACGTGGAAAATAGCTCACAGTTCTGACTCAACGGACATTATTAATTCGAGGTGTTGTAATGTACGCGCGTTTGCGGAGCTGAAAAAAGAAAAAAGAACACAAAGGGGAGAGAGAGAGAAATCGAACTTTTCGAGGATGACTCTCTCGGCTTGCGGCTCGTATTCGGAATTGTAACTGTAAAACGGGCATACGGTGAAATTAAGGAGGGCGATAGCGGCGGTTTGGTTTTCTTTCTTTCTTTTTTTTCCTTCGCCTCGTCGAGTCGGCCAAAGGCGCGACTCACGATCGAAGCGCGCGAAAAGAGCGAATCCTCTCGCGAAGATAACGCGAATTGACCTCCTTTCTACGGCCAAGAGGGAGGAGCGCAAAAAAAAATCGCAGATGAACCTCGGGGAACGATCTCTCCCTCTCTCTTTCTCTCGCACTCTCGTCTAACTCTTTGCCGATCGTGGCTGTAGCCAAGTGTCTCGAGTCTATTAATTTATGTGTTTAATTTAATCTAGTTAAGTTTTTACTGTATTAGTGCTAGTATTTATCTATTAATTTCAGTTATCACATATTCTTATGTGATTATCAGTTGGAGATTATCAAATAAAGTAAGTCTTTCGCGAGATTAGTGAAAGAGTTGAAGCATTCGCTATCAAAGTCGAGAAAGAGAGAGAGAGAGAGAGAGAGAGCACAGACGCGAAAAGCGTGGAATCTCTCCTCCTTTTCGCTGAGGATACTCGGATTTTCAAGGTGCGAGACAGTATCGCGAGGCGTTCGCACTTCTTTGTGCCGCTTGCATGTGTTTAATACGACGTTTCGGCGGAAATAGCGTCCGCGAGGGAACAAAAGCGTGTGCGGCGTGCACGAGCGGTGCGAAGCCGTGAGAAAGAAGACTGCGATGTACAAAGACGCTCGTAATCGGGTGCACTTACTTATAGTTCAAGGCCGCGTTAGATCATCTCGGATTAACTGCGGCACGCCGACACTTACGCGCATCGATCCGCTTTCGCGCGGCCCTCTCTCGTCTACGTCACTCCAGGAATAACTTTTAAGTCCGCCCGTTACAGCCGCGCTTTCCGCGATCGCTCCCCTCGCCCCCTTCCTCTTCCTCCTCCTCTACGTTTCCCTCGTCAAATTTCCGGCGCGATCGCACGCGTCCGTCTCGATCCGACGGTGACGTGATCCGCGACGGAACGCGTTGCACAGATTTGCTTTTAGCGGGGCGTCTCCAATATGCGAATGTAATCGAAATACTGATATATCTCATTTCGGGGAGAGTTAATTTAACGCACCGAGGGGTGAGTTTTTCGCACACGAGGAGGGAGGGAAACGCTCCGCTCTCATCTTGACAGTGAAAGCAACTGGCCAGTATTATTGCAGTTACGAATTGATGAAGGGCTCATTTGTCGTCGTCGTCGTTGCCGTCCTCGTGCCCGTCCGAAGATCGATATAGGACGATTGCTGTGCGAATATTATACTGTATAGCGCAAGGATCGATGCCAACGTGAAATATGGCTCTTATCGTTGATTATCTCTCTTCTGCGCCTGTGGGCGTACTGTTAGGCACGGAAGGGTTAAGAGTAATTGACTTTGAGACACTTGACTTTGAAATCCGAGCTCTCTCTCTCTCTCTCTCTCAGGTCTGTCGCACGTTTCCAAGAGATTCGCTCGAGAACTCGTCGCGGCAGAATTGTTCGATGCCTCTGTACCGTTCGTCGCATCTAATGTTTTCCGCGTAATTAACGGGGCTGCTGAAAACTATAATTTCTCTCAGTGCACACGTCGCGGAGCCTGTCCCTTTCTCAGTAAGCGACTTTTTACCGCGGTCAATTTAAAGTCCACTCAGCTGGACAGTTTTTAACAAAGCGCCCCACGTGTCGGCACGACAACGTTTGGCCCGCGACGTGTCTCGTGACACGGGAGATTAGACCGTTGCACCATGTGGTTTTCTCGGAATTAATTCGTTACGAGTCGTCGCGATCCCCGAATTGCGTCACGGAAAGCCCGGTGAACTTTGAACTTCTCGCGGAAGCGAGCGTATTTTCGTCGCCGCGTCGGTGACATCCGCTGGTTGGTTGGCCCGCTGGCTGCCGGCCGGCCGGCGCGCTTCGTCGTCGTCGAGGTCGTCCATGCGATATACAGGGTGTTCGATAATTTTCTGGGGATCCGTGGTGTGCTGTTAGGTAAAACTGAGCAGAAAAATCATGTGTCATTTTTGCAAAATTCGCAATAGTTAACGGGGAATTAATCATTATGTGTTAGATAATAAGCACACGAGAAGCGATAGGCCGGACTCTGTATAAGGAGAAATTGCTTATTTTCAAAGATAGCTGATTGATTCCCAGCTATAATGAGCATCAACTGATTTCTAAAGGCGGAGTGACGCAGCAAGTAGCGAGCGGCTTATGACACAGGGTTGCGCACTGAAAAGAAACACGCCTCTCGTTATCAATTGATACCCGATCGTTACTGGGAGGTCTTCAAAAGTAAACATTCTTCTTTATGCCGAGTCCGGCTTACGTTTCCCGTATGCTTGTTAACTCATACTAATTAATCAATTTCTCATTAACTCCTTAATGGCAAGGTAGATCTTCAACGTATCCAGGAAAGTGGAGTTGGATCCGATCCCACACTCTGCTTTGATTGCTTCAAATTTAATACATTTTATTGCGTCGACTTTTCCGCTCGGTTTAATCCGTTCTACCTGCACACCGCTTGGATTCCGAGAAAATTAGAATCGGCCACCCTGTGTATCGCCACATTCGCGGAAGTTTAATTTAATCTCCGACCGAACTCGAGCCACTCCAGATCGCGTCGCGATAATTGCGCGCTCGATATCGCGCGCATCCGTTATTGATTGATGACGGGGAACTTTTCTCGTCTTTCCTTCGACGTGACGTTTCAGCGTTAACAGCGCACTACTACTTCGCTCCACGTAAGAAGAATCCAACGAACCGGCTCTTAATTACGTCGCGCGACATTGCGGATTTTTCTCCTCTCGAGAGACCCTCGGAGCGAATTGGCTTCTTTTCGTCGCGCGCACGGGGACGTATGCGCGTATACACATTCCGCGCTTTTCCTCTCGCCCTCGTTAAAAATAGATACCCCAACAAATGGTCGCGGGAATTCTGCTCGAAAGAACGTGAAACCGGTCTCTCCCGGGGAGGAGGAAGAGGAGGCTCTTTGATGCTCAGCTCAGGAAGCGAGTAACGAAATCTCGCTCTTCGTTCGACTTCGTGCCGCGATCTCCAGCGAGCGAGCGAACCGTCTCACAGCGAAGTTCTCGAAACTTACCTGCCGATATGTATCCAATTCTGAAAATAATATGTTTTCGACGGCGGAGGGTGAACGCGCTCGTTCGGTACGGCTCAATTCGATACTTGGTGCCTCGTGTAGAGATTCGTGAATGGCAACGCACAATACCACGCTTTTGCTTATTTGTACTGCCGCAGATGGTTCGGGAGCACATCTGCAAGAATACAAATAAAATAGACAAAGTTTGGAGCTTTTTCTCTCTCTCCCTCTCTCTCTCTCTCTTTCCCTTTAAATACGGCTGCGAATTCCGAGACGTTCGTTTGTTTTGCCAAATCGCGAGATCGGATCTACGTCGCTCCCGCAGTTGTAATCAAGATTCAGCATAACGTATGATGATGTAACGATAGATAACGTAGTCGTAGACACGCGCAAGTGTGCTTCACCAATCAATGACGCGTGAACCGCTATAGATTAGATGGAAGATTCAAGATGAGCTGTCATTTTTATTTGAACGCAAAAATTCTTGGCATGCGTTTTCTCGCTTCTGACGTCATTAAAGAAGGACAGTCGCAGCGAGTATCCAGGAGCTTTAATATGACATGCGACTTTCTTTTTCGGTCTTTTCTCGTGATTTTGTTACATTAATTGCGCGGCTTAGAAGTAGAGGGAATTTTGGGTATACTTTTTCTCGCTTCTGACGTCAATAATTGAGATGACTGCGAAGATTGAGAAGAGGCAGAAGCCATTCAGAACTCGTTTCGGTTTATCCCGTTAGTGTTTTTGTTACTGTTAGCCTTTCGTTATTACGAATCTTTCGCACTTTTATTTTCTATTTAAAATTATCAACCAAATTATTTCCACCGTTGTTTCGAAAGAACAGATTTGTACGAAGAGCGTGATATTTGACTTTTCGGAAGCGGGGAAATCCACGCGTAAAAATTGGAGCTAAGCGAGCGCCTGAGCAGCAGTTGATAGAACGTTTCTGTGATTCGCGCAATTACCACCACATTTATCCGCGACGGGGAACAGGGAGTTTACACACGTCAGCCCGCGGGATTTACGTTGCGGAACGCCGGGACTGCTCAAGCCGCATTATCACGTTGTGTCGTTGCGCTTACTGATAAAACGCATTTCTCTCATTCTCTGCTTTCAGGTAAGTAAAGAAGAGCTCGCGAAATTAGTCCAGAGCTTCGAGGAGCAGGACATCCTGACGTCGTCGGGGGTTACCTTAGCCGGTAGCAGGTACATCTACCTGTCGGGCACGGACCGTGTGATAAGGGCAAAACTCGGCAAAGTTGGCGTGCACTGCATGAAGACGACGCAGGCCGTAGTTGTCTCCCTATACGAGGACCCCATACAGCCACAACAAGCTGCATCTGTCGTTGAAAAACTGGGCGAGTACCTCGTGTCCTGCGGCTATTAGGTCAGTATGACGATCCCCACCTCTTCCGAATTGTACAGATACGTACAGATACGTCACGGGATTCTCGTGAATTCTCATTTATCGTGGATTCCTCCGTTGGCGATCAAAATTTCATATCGATTGCTCTTCGAATTTCTCCGTAAAATGTCGCGGTGGTTTTCCCAAAGGGATCGCAGGCTTCTCGTGAAACGCCCACATTTACGAGGATTTTGTGACGTATAAATCTATGATTACTAAATTTATGAGTGGATGGCCCACATGAAAATGCGATTCTAAGCCTTACAACTTTCTTGAAGCATTCGATCAAGTGAATTATTTAAATCGTGTGATCTTAAGAATTCGCTTAATCGTGAACATTTACATTTGCTTTGACGAATTTACGAAGATCTCGTACGATTTAAAAGATTCGATCGAAGAAAACTCGATCACAACGTGGAGGAGAACGTCTTATTATTTGGAAATAAATACATGATGACTCGCTTTAATACAATACCCGGCTTTGAAGATGTATTTTAAATATAACCGGCGGGGAGAGTCTTAATCTCGTGACGGCACCGGGACGGTCGCTTTTTTTTTTTTTAATTAGTCTCTGTTAAACTCGTGCCTCTCGTAAATTCAGTTCCCGCGAGAACTCTTCTCAGCCGTTACGGACGAAAGTTTCTGACATTGCGGCCTCCACGCTCGACGAAAAATTTCATTAATTCCGGAGAAAGATTCCGCCGGACAACTTGCGCGCAAGAACCGCGGAGGAAATATTAACGGATTAGGGAAGTTCAGAGAGCATTGCGTAGCATTATGCTGGCAATTCAGTAACATCTCGCGTTATGTATTGTTATTATCATTTCATACTCGAGTATCGCGGAAATGAAAAATACGGTTTGGAAAAGAAATGCTTGTAATCCTCTACGCGGATTTATCAGTGCAATTAAGACTCCTGGTCTCTCTCTCTCTCTCTCTCTCTCTCTCTCTCTCTCTCTCTCTCTCTNCTCTCTCTCTCTCTCTCTCTCTCTCTTTTTCTCGCTGCAGTCGTTTAATGACGTAAAAAACGAACAGAACGTGTCGAAATTTCCTGCTAAATACGTTGAAAAATAACCGGATGTGCCCATAAAGCGGTAGAAATGTTAGAAATGACAAAATACAAGTTCCGATGCGCAGGAGAATTCACCTCGAAGTTTCGCTTCGACGTCGATGGGAACGGTTTCAGACTTCTCGCGGATTCCCGGACTTAATTTTCGTCATTAGACCGAAAGCGTCACGGAGACACGGGCTCGATTCCTCACGGCAGGGAATTCTGTTCGCTTAACGTCTGCTCGCGGAATAAATTACACAGAATTACCGAAGATTAAGCGGAATTATCCTGCCCGAACTTTGTTGACGTGTCGCGCTTCGATCAGTAGTCTATCGTAGTCTCTCTCTTCTTCTTCGCATCGACGTGCGCGAAATCCGGGCGCAGCAGCGGTTAATGCTCGCTCACTCGCTTGCTGCGACGTCGGATTAACGCGTTCACGAAGCGTTTATTCACATTGCTCCCCCTCGCTCGGTCGCTTCGATTTAACCAACAGGTCTTCCCTCTGCCGCGTCGCGCTTATCATTATCGGCTTGTCACTCAATAACCGTCGTTCCGCGAACACCCGTGACGAAAGAGAGAGAGAGAGAGAGAGAGGGGGAGGGAGGAATGCACACGCTAGGCTATTGTTTGACGGCGCGGTTTTCGCGCCGTCCGTCAAGCTGCGCGCTTCTGTGCAACTGGGAAATGCATTCTCCGTCGCCGTCGGGTCGTTGCCTTGACGTTGCTGCGTCTACGTTTCCACGTGATTCGCGCGCGCGCGTCGTGATCTGGAGCAGGCTGGAAAAATGGTGAAAAGCGTATTCGTGGGTCAGTAGGTTCGGGAACGTTTTGGAGGTCAGAGGAATAATTGTCAGGGATTTTCTCGACTCGCCGTTTTGCGGGGGTCTTTCTCTGGAAACCTTCCGGGAAAATTTAGTAAACTTCTACCTTCGCTCGTTTGTTACTTTTCACGACGATTTTCCGAATGAAATTTAACGCTTAATAAATAATAAATTAACGTTTTGATTATATTCGTTTTGATCATATTCGCTTGAATTTCGCCAATTTTTTTACGCAGAAAATTAAGAGAGTAATTGTATTTTTGCAACTCTGCCTCTATTTTAAATACTGTGATTTGAAATGGAAAGCAACTTTGCAACTTTCATAATAAAATTAAACTGTTAATGTTCAGTTGCATTTGAAATGCCTTTCAAAACTCCGACGGTATTATCCCTCGGACGCGCGATGCGCGAATGACACGGAGCTGAGCGTGTCTCTTTATCGACGAATTGAAATGCATTTGTAACGAGGTTTCGTCACTAGCCGTTTATTGTATCGACAAATTCAAGTTCGGTGGAATTTAATCGCATGAAATTAACTTTATCGTCGCTCCACTAGAAAACTCGTCAAGTTGTAATATTAACGACTTCAGGTAATTGGTACGTGACAATATTGATTGTTAGAAGGTAATAGTCAAATGCACCAAACGTTTATAAATATGATTTATGATATACAGCTTTGACATTAGTAACAGTTAATTCAACTTACATAATGTTTAAAAATCCATAAAGAAATGTATTTTTTGCGTTTTGACGTACAATACTTTTTCTGGGACTGTCCGTGTTGGTCCATATATTTGTAAGTGTATCATAAGATAAAAAGATATTATAAAGTCCCATTTATGGATCGAGCCCTTATTTTCAAGTCAAACTTAGTTCATTCATATATTAAAAAAATACACATTATGATGAAAACAATACGGGAAAAAATATTTTTGTATATCCTTCAGTTCATTTTTTTACAATTATTGTGTTCTAAGATTACATTCAGAAACATAGTAGGTATTTAAGAAAAAGAATATCATTTATCTACCTACTGCATATTATATTTAATAAAATTTATATATATATATGATTTAATTATGTAGTTTTCAAGAATTTACGTATATTATGTAACATTCACTGTAATGAAATGATAGGAACTTTTCAATTTCGACACGGCCTGTACACGGTGGACAAATGACACGGTATAAAACCGATTTTGCCCGGTTGTTTCTCGCGATAAACTCGCGTCTCGCGCGACTCGGTTGACGTATTTGCGCGGTTGCACAAGTGAACGCTTTGTCAGTGCAGATATATTGCTGCCCGCGTCGCGGTACTCGGTATCACGGACGCGAATACGGCCCGTCACGCAAGAGAGCATATCTTCAGCATATATCCGAAGGAGAAATTATTATTTTATAGAGGGAGAGAACGCGAACGCGAGGATGCACGAAATGCGCGAAGGAAAGCTCGAAAGAAGCGGGGTTGATCCGGAACACCATGTAGAGTGCAGTCCCTTATCTTTATTTTTATACACACAGAAGAAAGAAAGAAGTGCCGGAATCAAGTAATTACGTTGTTTTTCAGCCTCTTAAATCAAGTAATATTTTTACCAACTTAAGTATATTTTGATGACTTAGTAGTAAATATCCGCTTGAACGTAGTAATATCTTAATTTGTAAATGAATCATTGAACGTAAGTGTAAATTGTTCTAAATTTGAAAACAAATTCATTAGAATTATGTAATACTTGTTTGCCACTAAAAATGTTTCACGAAGTTATAACAACACCAAAATACAGTAGTTTCTTTTCACCCGAAGATTACTTATTACGAGATCACTTATTACACGAAAAAAACAACGTTTTCCAACACTGTAATGTATTCATCGCGCGTTTCATAACATTCGCAGAAGAGATCAAAGTTTCGCACGGGTGACGAAGCGAAGTCGTCAGCCGCGAGTTTTCCACGGGGACGTCATCGTTCGCGAGAAATTGAGCGGGCTCGTCGTTCGCTCGTGACAGACGGGGGAAAAAAATGATTGAAAAAGTGACATGTAGGGATCGCTGCTCGCTCGATTTTCAGGCGACGCAACGCGGCGCGAGCGCAGCTTCGCGTGACTCACGCGGATAATTCTCGAGCGTTTTAGCCTGATATCAGCTTGCGGCGATGACTAATCAGGCCGCACTTGCGTATTCGCCTCAGGCCGATGAGAGAGAGATGGTATTACCGCGGAGGGGAACGATAAATATTTTTTTCCTACGGGCAGAGAGATGAGACGAGACCAGTCGTCGTCGTCGTCGCTTTTGTTCGCGGATATAATCGTCCGATTCCTCTCGCGTTCGCTTCGTCGTCGTTCGCGTTTCCTCTCGAGAAGGTGCGTTTTAATATTCAAGGTGTACCGAAAACCCTCGACAATCCGTTCGTCAGGAAGCGTCCAGTGCCGTTCAAACGTTGGAAATTTCAAGTTCCCCGTCGGTAAAAATTCGTCCTCCGTTCCGAACGATTTGGTGGCTTTTTATTTGAGAGTGTTAGATTTTTTTTTTAATTTCAACCCTTTATTTTTATTATTTCGTTGCATTCCGCTCGATATTAGTGCGAATTACACGGTCAGCGTAGAGGCTTGAAATTTGCACGTATTTCCGGAAAGAAATCGAGGTCACGTCGCGGTGCGCCTCCCGATAAAGAGCTTTCCACCTTCGTATCGTTATTCCTACACGATGAAAGAATCAGTTCCTGCAATTGTGAATAGGGACCAGATGAAAACTCGGTGACGAGGAAAAGTATCTCTGTTAACTGCGACTGAGAACATTTGTGGTGAACCTTTAGAACGCGCGTTAATACTTCGCGATCCGCCGACAACACTGCAAGTATCGTTGCGCGAATTTCGACGTTGCAATCCTGCCGACGATGTAGCGATGTCGCGATGTGAGAACATTCATTTACGGAACATCTGAAGATGAACTTGAGACGATCTTAAATACAAGATCCGACTGTGAATACCAGCCATTGGCCTCAGTTTTTACTCGAGTCAGAAAGCGGGCCGCGAAGTATTGAAGAAACTCGGTTGCGGCGACTGTGAAAGCACGATTTTGAACCGAGTAGAAACCTACCATGGGGAATCTTTCCACTCCTGTAACCGACGTTCTCGTCTGGTCCCCCGTCTGTAAACGGAAAAGCCAGTCACACCGACGCAATTGTTCCTCCCGGATACCGTCGTCCGCGAGAATAACGAGTACGAGCAGGTGCTCGTGGACTGAAACCGCCAGAATCCACCACCACCGCCATCATATATTCGGCAGCCAGCCAGCCGACTAACCTGCGCCCTAACCCTGCTTTCTGTTTCAGTAACCTCTGGGACCCAACACAAAATATCTAATATTAATAATAAACGATACAGTCGATTATTTTAATGAAACAGCGAATGGAATGCGCCATGCCGCACGAGTCGCGCCGGAACTGCCGCAAGCCTGCCGCGCGGCCCCACGATGAGAAGCAACAACTACATCAACAACAACTACAACAACAACAACAATACAACCACTACTACAACCGCAACTACCATTCACCACCACCACCTCCAAAAATCATCATTCTCTCCTCTTCGGCTCTTTGACGCGACCTGAGAAACGGGGGAAGAAGGCAAGCAAGCAAGCGCGCGCGCGTTCGCAAAAGGAATCCACACGCACGCACATACGTAGCCACGTACCCTCTCTTCTTGCCATCCTTTTTCCCTTTTCTCTCTCTCTCTCTCTCTCTCTCTCTCTTCCCCTCCCTTCGTCCTTCCTCTCGCCGCCACCATCTCTACATATACACATAACACACACATACGCGCGCGCACGCATCAACCGCGTTCTCGCGAGCGATGGAACACGTATACGTACTTAAGCATCTGCGCGTTGTACGCGGGTACATCCTTCGAGAGAGACTGCTTTCGGCGGACACTTTCCTCTCTCGATGCGCGTCTTCTTTCTCTCTCTTTCTCTCTCTCTCGGAGCTCAGTCGACGGTTCGACGAGGGAACTCAACTTCTGGAAATTAATAAAAAAAGGACAAAAAACAAGCTTCCTCGTCGGACTGCCGGAGCTGTGCTCCGAGCGTATCGAGAGAGAAAAGCGCCCTAAGTCGACCCCGTGCCGGGAAACAACCAAGGTGTGTGTACTCGTCGTGCGACGCGTGACGCGCGTCCGAAGAACGCGGGGAACGACGTCGTCGTCGTCGTCGACCGGCGGACACCGAAGGTGCGCCACAATGTGACTGTCACATCAGCTCTCTACGCGACTAGGCCTTCGCTACGACGACGCGAGGCGGCGATTTTCCGCGGGCGCGTCGCGAGAGCGAAGTCGTCGCGACGGAAGTCTGCGAGCGGCGGGAAACGGCGCGCGCGTCGTTGCTTCATCGCCGGCGTCGAGAAACATGCGCGTTGTGCGGCGTAGATGCGCGCGAGACGCGTCGCTTCCGCGAGAATCGGCTCCGATCCGGAACTCGAGGAAAACCTTCCCTCGAGCGCGGAAGCGACCGGTCTCGAATCACGTACCTGTGTCGACGCGGGATATCGCGCACGTAGCTTCGATAAATATGTGTAAATCATATAACGCTTGTTGGAGCTACGTGCGCGGTACGCCGACATCGTCACGGCGCGGTTCTGAGAAAAACACACACACGCGTACGCTCGCTTTTCATTTCGAACACACACACACACTCGCACGAAACGACGAATCACACGCATCGACGATGTCAGAGGGATCGACGAATATTGGGGAGAGAAGAAGGGAGAGAGAGAGAGAGAGAGAGAGAGAGAGAGAGAGAGAGAGAGAGAGAGAATAAAAAAGGGAGAGAAAATGTGTGAGAGAGAGAGAGAGAAAGATAGAGAAAAAAAGAGTGAGAGCGCGACACGTTGAACTTTTGTGACCGCTTGGCGGCGTTTCGCCGACGGAGAGACGACACATATACACGTGAATTACGTATAAGAAGTAATGATAATAAATATTAATAATAAACTATTGTGTTAGAGGTTTACAATCTTTTTCGTAGGGCACGAAAGGGTGAACGCGCATGAGAGAGGGAGAGAAAGAGAGGGAGAGCGAGGAGTAAAAGGTGTAATGAGTGTCGGGGATTGGTGAGTTTGGGAGAGAGAGAGAGAGAGAGAGAGTTGGTGGTGAGTTGGCCTGCGAGCGAGGGTGAGAGTGAGAATGAAAGAGGATAGGAGAGCGGTAAAAATGACGATCGGGAAAAATGGATACTTGGAAGCAGCTGAGCGTTTAACAAGCGATGATGTGAAATGGAAGAAGATGAGGAGGAAGGAGAAGCAGGTGAAGTGTGGAGAAAGAAACAGAATGTGAGGGAGAGAGAGATTGGGGAATGAGAGAGTGAATGAGAGAGAGAAAGAGAGAGAGAGTGAGAGTAGCGGAGGGATGATGATGATGGCGATAACGGTGGCGGCGGCGGCGATACGATAATATGTTCATGACGATGGTTGAAGATAACGATGATGATAAAACGATGACAATGCGGGCGAGCATGCGGCAGCGGGTGATATGGCACGGATTGGCCGCAATCCTGGCCGCCTCCCCCATCCCCCCCAAGAATCGATACGGTCCTTTTAGCTATTTACTGTCTTTATTATTGCTATGTGTAAGAGGAATAAAAACAAAATGGCGAACGATGTGTCATAAAAATGCTGAGATTTTTATCGATGATAGAGAAGGAGAGAAAGAGCGAAATGAGAATAAGATAGTGAGAGAGAGAGAGAGAGAGAGAGAGAGAGAGAGCGAGCGAGCGAGAAAGCGTGAGAGAGAAAGAGTCGCAACAAAAAAAAAGAACACAGACACACACCAGCATATGTATGAACACTGAAACTCATACAGACACATACACGCATATACACACATACACATACGATACACGCATATCGTACACCCGCATCCGAACACGTGCACGTGGGCGCGAGGATGAAGAGGAAGAGCGTGTCGCACACGGCTTCGGATTCTGACCAGGTAGATCCCGAGAAAGATAGAGAGAGAAACAGCAGTGGGGATCCCCTCGCGAAAGACTCGCCTCAACCCTGTGAAAAAAAAAAAGGCGCGAATGGCAGTGTAAAAATAAAATTTCGCACATTTCGTATCGATCGCTTTTCCCTCTCGCATTGGTTCGCACTTTTGAGCGATAGCCGTTTAAGTTTCAGCCTGCGGCGCACATCAGGACGTACGTCAGGAGAGCCGCGTTTCCGATTTCATCCGGCATCTTCGATTCTCTGCGATTTCTCCCCCGACCGGATCGATTTTACGCGCATTTCGCGCGTCGTATTTGTCGTCGTTCTCCTTTTATACGACTATCGATATAATCACGTATAACGTAAAAATGAAAGGGAAGAAAAAAGAAGACGCTTCTCTCGGTATGATTGTTTTTCCCCCCCATCGATCCACGACGGTTGTTGGTCGCAGGAGAAGACACCAGGAACGCCCCTTCCACCCTTCCCTCCTCCGCGGGAATATCAGCGAAAGAAAGTTCCTCGGGCGGCTTCGAAGCTAACGATTTCCACGTGACGCGATATCCGACACGGGTTTTCGGGCGAGACGACGAGCCGCCGAGCTCTAATCGCTCTAATCGTTTTCCTTTATCTCCCTTCCCCTCCTCTATCACTCCCTTTTCCTTCCTGTTTCGCGTGTCCTTATCTCTTCTCACCCCCCGCCAACGTCATCGTCGTCCTATCGGCATCGGCGATGACGCTCTCTTGGCTATCTCGGTATGTCGTCTTTATCGTTCGGGATATTCGTGTTCTCTTCTGCATCCGCTTTGTCGCCCGCCGGCTCGTCGTTGTGGCTTCTTCGTTGACGCTTCTCAGCCGTTCCCTTTGCGGTCTACGTCTGCGTCTCGGACAATAGGGAGAAACGCGATACGCACGACGCGTGGAAATTCGCCGGCGAGCGAGAGAAAGAAGGAGAGAGAGAGAGAGAAAGACGGTCGATGATCGCGCATGCGCGGTCCGACGATTTCCGGAACACAACGGGGAATCCTCGTCGATGCGCGCGCGAGAGAGACGTGCTGAGGATGATGAGGCCCACGTGGCCGGCTGCTGCTGCTGCACCTGCGACGAATTCCTGCCGTGTATCTGAAGATTGACTTTCGCGTCTCACCTGCGCGCGTTTATCGATGCACGGGCGGCCACACGTGTCACATAACGTAATACATACACACACACACGAACATGTACACGACTACCGCTACCAATTATTACTACTACTATTACTACTACCGCTACTATTACTATAACTGGTTGCTTGTCGATTCGTCTGACGCCAAGCAGCGGCCCAAACTACTATGTAACGATTTTTATTGATAACAAAGGAAGGAATAAACATTGAAGTAATAATTGTAATAAAAAAGGAAGAAAAAAAAACTGCATCTCAGAAGCAAAAGTGATGACTCCTAGTGGCACACACACTCGTCGTCCAGGCACTCGTATCTCGTTCTCGCTCTTCCGCGACTCCGTTTCCGCGTCTGCTCGTCGCAGGACGAGAATGTGAGAAAGAGAGCGGGGAATACGCGCGCGAGAACCGTGCGTTCTTTCCCTCTCGGCGCCTCCGCCGGCGTTGCTCGACTTTAATCGGCGGTCTTTGTCTCCTCCTGCTAACGGGAGTCAAAGAGGAGACGTAAGATTCGTCTCACTTTTATTCGTCCAACAGATTCGGAAGCCCAAATTGCTATTTGTTGGATACATATATGTGGACAATTAATCATCTTAACAAATCTCTCTGCTGTCTGAAAGAAATTCTTTGCTAAGAAAATTTTTTCTTGCTGTCACTATATTGACAAGCGTTTGCTGTTCTGGCAAAATTGGTTTTCTCCGTGCTCTCCAATTCGCTCGCCAGCGTCTGGAACCGCGCTTGGCTTGCTGTTGCGATTTGTTAAACGCCCTGACTAGCGCCCGGGATCGTTTTTGCGGGGAGCGAAGTGAAGGTGCGCGCGCGAGGTTGTACCGCCCGTTAAAAGTTTGAGGCCAAATGTCGGCGAAATCGGCGCTCGTCGGTATTACGGCACATGGTTCACGTATGCCTCACGTGTAAAGCTGGAGGGGGGAGGGAAAGATTATCGGACCCGCTCGAGTGAAGTATAACGGTCGAGAGGTAGATACGAAAATAAAACTCGAGGAATGCGAGGACCGTGTGTGACAATCGCTGATGTAACAATCGCTCCGACGGCGATCAACGAGAATCATTATCGAACGATAAAACGAAGCCGCCGTTCCAGAATGCGCGGCCGCGCGATCAATCTGCGAGCAGCAAGTGTACGGAGAAAAATAATTCTGCTGCTGTGAGCGAGAACGTCCGGTTGCCACCGCATATTCGCGTTGCGAAAATTTCCGCTCGGTTTTATAAACAAATTAACGGATTGTTCGCAGTTGGGACGGAAACAGTTTCTTCGTTTGTCGGTGTAGGAAATATTCTGCCGAGTGAATTTGCCCTCGGGAGACACGTTGATTCGCTGTTAGAACGAAATGTTTTTTTTTTAATTAATTTACTAATTTATCGCAGTGTCCAGCAGATTTTACTACGACAACATACAATTTGTCGTGCCGGCGAATTATTTCCCTCCGTGCACTGATCCCACCTCCATCCGCGTGTGCTTCATTTTTCAATCGATCGTCCCGGGAAACATTACACTCTCGATACTTCGATTCCTCGTGCGCTTCACGCGCTCGTCCCTCGCTCATAGAGTGCGTATTGGAACATCGGGATTTCGTCGCTCGTCGAATCAGGAAACGATCGATTCCCCCCACGATCTCTTATCACGAGTTATCCCTGAGGAGGAAGGACGTGGTCTTGGTTTCTCGATGGACGAGCGCGTGCTTATTCTCGCGTATCTTTCCGCGTCTCGAGAATGCGAGAAGTGCACCCCGCGCTTTCGGCGAGGGCCGAAAACTGATCGGTTTTCGCCGGCGGAAAGGATATTGGCAGGGTCGCGGAAAGGGAGACGCAGGAAGAAGGAATACGTTATGCACACATGTCGGAATGAGAAAGAGAGAGAGAAGGAAGGAGAGGATTAACGAAAGAGAGAGAAAGAGAGAAAGGGGGCTACATGCGCGCCGGACAATTAGATGTAACTTTTGTAAAGCCGAAATAATACATATACTTCCTCTTAAGGTTCTTTTGCATACCATCGGTCGGCGGCGATGATCGCGATTACGACGATCACGACGATCGAGAAGACAGAAAACCGAACAAAAAAACGAAACTGTTTAAGAAAGTAATAAATTTGTATAAAGTGGTGTAAAACTAAGGCGTTTGGTGTTTGCGTACACGAATGCGACGATTCGCTAATTCGAGTCCGCTAATTAGTCGCACGAAATGCGAAACGAGCTCGAGGAGCGGAAGCGTGTCAAGGTAAGTACGACATTTCACTTTTCTCCACGGGGTTATAGGGGGGAAGAGGGAGGTGCGACAAGCAAAAACATCAGTTTGTCCTGTCACTAGTATTGTTTTTGAAATTTTACAAACGACAGCGTGTTGTCTATTTTCTTTTGTCTATGGCGAAGTTAGTTCTTGAACAGATTTGTTTAAATTGTAAGTTTGAACGGCTTGACTACGAAGCACTACAAACAGCTACGAACAGCTTTCTTTAAGTGTATAACGCGAGAAGAGGTGAGAATAAAATTCCCCGCATACGGAAAGTTAAAAATTTAACATTTAATTTAGTTGTCCGAGACAAATTTTCGTGAAGCTCTCGCTTGATGTAGGTCGACCCGTTATTTTATCGACGGAAACTGCGGCGAGTATTTCCGCGAAAGAAGGCCGCATTTCCGCGCGAAACAGCGGTTCACCGAGAGATCATGAGGCGACTTCGGTCACGTCGTTTCCTTCCTGCGCCGCGGTATTTTCGTCAAACGAATACGTAATCGACACGAAATTCTGCTTGAGATACATGTCGCATTTTCCAATTTTTCAAGTCAGAAATTAGAAAAAGCCTTTGTCGATCTGTCGGTTTCCACGGCGATTATATTATCACACTCGGATCCGAACGGAAAGATGCATACGAGACTTCTCTTTTCGAGCGGTTTCTTGCATTTTTTTCCTAAATGGTTTTTTCCTAAAAAAAATACGTCGCATGGAACAAATAACTTTACTATTGTTGCGACAGCAGTAAAATTTAGTTGGCGTAACCAAATTATTTTGCTACATCCATGTAATCCAGCAAACGGCAATTAATACTCCTAACAAATATTTCTGCTATCGAAACAAATCTTTCTCGCTGTCACTACGACAACAAACGATTTGCTGTCTGGAAAAAGTTCCTTTCTCCGTGTGGTTTCGAGAGATGCAGTGAATCGAACGGTTCTTAAAACGGGAGAGAATTAGGCCCGGTCATTCGTGCCGTTTTGACACTACGTCATCCTGTTCCGCACGCGATCGCCCGTAGACACGCGACGCGCCGCTATCGATCTGCCGGCAGGTTCGCAACATAATGTGCGCTGCCGTCGTCGTGTGAGACAGTACATGTCAAGCTGTCAAAGTAGCCGCGATCAATGGACACACCGGAGACGTAGGTATAACCCGCGAGTTGCAGTTTTCATTGCGGCGATCGATTCTCTCCCTCCGGTGAATTTAGGCATTGTATTAATAGCCAGTCGCCTCTCCTCAGGCTTTTCTCATGTAAGATACTTGGATTTAAGTTTAAGATTAAGAACATGAGCTTAAATTGCGAATACAAATCTGACATGTTATATATGGTTCAAATGCCCCATAAACGTGTAATATTCCTAGAATATCAGCCGAATTTAAGGGGATTTTCATTGGAAAGTCTAATCTAAATCTAGATATAGTACTATGCAAGCCATTGTCTTACCTTGACGCTACACATAGTTATTTACTGTCGTATGCTTTCATGTCGAGGCTTAAGGAAGTACCTATTCGAGAATTATTTAATCTTTCGAGTGTCGTGGGCGTATATACACCTATATATATATATATATATATATGTGTGAAAAACGTAAACTGAGAGAAAATTAAAATTCGAAAGGCTGAAATAAAACGTCCAGCTTGGGATATTCTCTCGAGTGCAATAATCAATTAGAAATTAGAAATTCATTAGAAATATTTATTTCAAGTGAATACTAAATTTAATTAAAATATTTAATATTAATTAGAACTAAAAATGATTAATTCGAAATATTTTATATTTATCCATTCGGACATTCCAATCGTTCGGGATTAATCGGATTAGTCGAGAGTCCCGGTCTTGACGCGCGCACCGCTTTCGAGCCGTTCGAAGTGGCGGGCACAGATCTCGCCTGGTCCGCGCAGCTTGACCCAACTTGACCTGATCTGCGACCTGCGAGACGCGACGATAATTAGTCGGGTGGCGTCAGCACGCAGTGCAGCGGCACACCATTAATACGCACGCTTATATAAATTACCTTTAACGTGACTTATTCAGTAAGTACGCCGACGGAAAGCGCAGCCAACATTTGTACCTTGCCTCCGTGTGACAGATGCCCCGTGAATGCCCGTTTTCATCGTCCTTTGCCGATCGAGATCACCTGTCGCGCCCTTCGCTCGTTACCGGTTCGTCCCGCGCAAATCTCGAGACTGATCGAAAAGTCTCTCTCTCTCTCTCTCTCTCTCTCTCGACGAATCGCTCGACGCTACGCGTGCCTCCTGCCGTGAAACAGATATCGGCGAAAAGCGAAAACAGGGCTCGCGGATCGTCGCGCGTTCCCGAGCGGCGCATCCGAGGCGGACACGCATCGTCCCGTAAAAATGTATCTCATAAAATATTCATTTTTCGATAACATCATCTTAACGTTTTTTGCATTGATGCATTTATAAAATGCAATGAATTGTTTTTTCTTTCTGAAAAAATATTTGTATATTTCCGATTTTTCGGGAAAATGGTCTCGGCGTTCGAATTTCGGTAAGACGACTTTTCGGTGGGAAATCGTCCCGGTTGCCGGAATCCGGGATTTTGATTTCCGGGGACGATGCGTGTCCGCCGTGTCCGAGAGTCCCGATGTCATTGAAATTGAAAGTCAAAGGAACGGAAAGAGAAGAGAAAATGTAGAAAATGTAGAAGCGAAGAGGAACGGCTCTCGCTCACGAATCGCGCGGCTCTGGAGAGAAATGATAAAGCAGAATACGTTTAGTAAGATAAATTATATTTCTCAAGCGTCTCAATTCGTCTAACACTTAACGAATAATCGGGGCACATCGGAGGCAAGAGGATCGTATACGATTTTCGTTCTCTTACACCTTCTTCTTTTTTTCTTATCGCACGAAGCGAACACGTGCGATTATCATTATTATTATCCGGCGATATTAACACGCGGTGAGAAATTCGAATTCGACGTTTTGCGGGCGTCCTTTTGCCTCAGACCGTTACCGCTGAATTATTCCTTATATATCTGAACATCGTACTTGGAGAAAAGAAAGAAAATAAAAAGAGACTTTTTCCTCTACATACACACTCGCACACACACTCACACACACACACACACATATATGTGTGTATATATTTATATTCGATCGACGTAACGTGACTCTCTTCCTGTAAAAAATTAACGTAATCGTTTGTTCTGCTCTGTTTTTTATTTCTTCTTTTCCGTTTTCCACGTGTTCCCGCGCCCCGATCGTCTCTCTCTCTCTATCCTCTTCCTAATAATAAGCGTTGAAATCATGGTCGCGAATATCAAAAATCGACAGCACGATAGAAAATAGTTTTACAAACGTACGAGAAGACGCTGGTTGAAAGGTTCGCCGGCGATAAGTTCTCCTTCGGCTGCGCGATTATGATTTCTTTTTCTTCCTCGAGGTTCGACGTACTACGGGGACAATCTTTGGCATACGACCGACCTCGCCGCTTATCGTCTCTCGACGGTCGTCTTTGTCTGATATCCGAGGGGATGAACGCGCGCGACACATCGACTTAAAAATTCTATTTAAATATATACCATCGTAGTTACCGTCGTCATCATCATCATCATCGTCAGCCTCATCATTATCATCGTCATCATATTTTCTCCTCCGCCTTCTTCTTCTCGATCATCATTATCATTATCATCGTCGGCTCTCTTCGTTACATCATAATCAGCTATAATCTCAGTTAATCGTATATTATCGGTAATAATGTTAATCAATAATATATTATTCTTATTATCGTTAACATATGTGTATGTGTATAGATGTGAGTATGTGTGTGCGTGTGTGTATGTGAATGTGTCTGCACATTTCCGCGCGCGCGTGTGTGTACGTGTGCGTGTATATCGCGTCGCTGCGAGCGTAATAATCGTCCCATTATTAATAATAACGTTACAACGTATTAATGATTCTATGAACTTACGGGTCAAGTATCAATAATAATGCGCCATATGATATTCTCTTTTTATCTCGCACTCGCGCCCGCTCCCCTCTCTTTCTCTCGCTTTCTCACCACATACGCACTCTCTCGCTCTCTAGAGCTTTGTCTCTCTCACGATATATCACACACCGGGTCTTCTATAATAATATATAAGTTGAGTATATACTCAAATATATACCCGAGTACTCTGTATATTGAATCGTTTATTATTATTATTATTATTATTATTATTATATTATATTATTATTATATTATTATATTACCTTTATTATTATTATTAATATTATTATTACTCTGTCTCTCTCGTTTTCATCTCTACAAACGTAGCGTGCGTTTCTCGGTTACAAAAGGAAGGTGGAAAGATTCCGGTGAACTGAGAGCAGCGCGATCTCGCCGATCGACGAAACTCTCCTGGCCGCGACAATTGCAGTTCGCAAGCTACAATCGTTCTTTCACACGATAACCGACCAAAAAACCAAGAACCAAGGTACCAAGAACAGTGTGAATAAAATATTTCCTAACGACGGGTTGTTCGACCCGTCGTTACGCTTTCGGTGATAGCGCAAATTCGCGTTTGAGAGTCGAGTTTTTCGGAAGGAAAAAAAGGAAGAAAGAAAAACGATTTTACATGTGTCAGGGACTAAAATGATCGAATTAAAAGATCGGCTTTCTGTCAGATCACGCGAAAAATCTCGCGACTTGGTACGCCGAGGATGAACGCCGGGAATAATCGGCGCACGCTGTGCGCCAGCGCGACCGCTGGCGTGTGGGACCGGGTCATGATCGTCGCTCCGCTCGGTTACGATATCGCGGAAATGTGACGAACGCCTCTCTCTCTCTCTCTCTCTCTCTCGTCGATTTTCGCCGATTGGCGATCTCGAAGCCCGGATTTGCGATCTTCGGGCCCGCTTCCCTCCGGCGAGCAGAAATCGCGGATCTCCTTTGCGTGAGCGCGTGATAATGCGTGGCGAGAGAAGTCAATGCAGCGTGACAGACGGCGTGACGAATCGACAGCGTGAAGAATCGGCGTTCCGATCCGAGTCTCTCGTTTCAGACGTCGCGTGTTCCTCGCGACGTCGCGCGCGCGAATTTCTTTCCGAGCCGATCAACGAACGACACCCCGCTGAGCCCGTCCCGTACTTTCCGGGGAAAATCTCCGGCGCGAATCTCCCCTCCGGAACTCCCCCGAGTCCAGGTTGGCGCGACGACTCGGACACTTGCCGTAATCCCTGTGTGTAATCCGTCGAACGATGATCTCCGTCCGATTCACACACACGCGGGAAACGCGGCCGACCGATCCTCAGATTACCTCGGGAAATCAAGTAACACGCACAGAAGAGACTCACCTTTTCTCGTCGTTCGAACTGAAAAGAAAACGGGCCTGCCTCCCCCCACGCTCCGTCTGGAAGAGACGAGAGAGCGGGAGAGGTGTCGCGGTTTTGACGCTGACCGGGACCAGGAATACCTAGAGAGAAGCCGGGCGAGCAGCGTGCATACAACAGCAACAACAACAACAGATTCGAGAGACACGTCGGGAGAATCGGTGGGAGTACGAATTTCCGGCGCGCCGATCGAGAAGAAAATGCGCTTCGGTCGGTCGACCGCGACGACCGGAAAGAGAGAGAAAGAAAGAATATCGAGAACCGTTCGACGAAGGGGACGCACGTGCATTCCCTTCGATATCGGCGACCCGTCGTCGACGAAGGCGATTTGCTCGAGATGGTGGCGGAAGCGCGAATTTCGCGCGTAAGAGGAACCGGAGGAGGTGCGCGGAAGGGATACACCGGGTGTCGATACCGCCGGTGGTATCGGCGGGGTTACTGGACGATACAGCAGCAGGGGCTGTTCCCGAGGGTCGTGGCGGCGATTCCCCGCTGATGCTGCGGATACTGCTGTCGTTGCTGTCGCGCTGTCATCTGCCGATTGCCGCCGCGCGGCTGCTGCTGGCCCGTCACCTTTGCGCACCTCGTGGGCTATTGGTTCTCCAGCGAGTAGTGGCGTGACCTCTTCCAAAAACCCTTGAAGAAGCCCTTCTTCTTGGGCGCGTCGCCGGTGTCCGCGCCTGGAACAGAAACGGTCCAAGTCTCGCGGTTAGTCTCGAACAGCTTCGGGAGATCGCACGGATCAATCCTGAAAGCGTAGCGGAGAAAACGGATTTTTGCTGGAATAGCAAACGTTTGTCGTCAATATAATGACGGGAAAAAAGACATTTGTTCGGACAGCGGGAAAGATTCTTTTGCTTTCTTATTTCAGCTTTCCATAATTTTCGCTACCCTCTTCGCGACACACAGGAGAGATCTGTGAGCTGTTGTTTCGGATCACGTCGAGATCGCGAACCTTGCTCTCGGGGTTTTAAGCCCGACCACGTGCCCAATTCCGAAATTTCATATCACGCATGCGCAAGCCGCCCACACCCACCACTGAGAGCTCGCGTAAGAGAACGCAGATTTACTGTTCGATAGTTCCAGAGCGATCGCTCGGATCGGGGAGAGGCGCCGACTCGGCGAGAACACGTCCGCTCGAAGGTACGTTACACCGCGGCGCATATTGCGGTTTCGTTACCGTTGCTGGATCACCGCCGGGAACACCGCTCTAACACGACTGACAATCAATTTGCCGACGCGTTAACCGTCCGGAGAAAGAAGCCGGGAGAGATCACGGGGTCCGATTTGCTCGCGGCTAATATTGTGAAAAAATTAAGGCGCGCCTGACAATACTGACGGGGGACTAGGTACAAGGCAAATATTTTCTCTTCCAGAAGCTAAAGTTACGTTAAAATGTACCTGTCACTACGGAATATCGTATACATTCTTTTTTTAATCGGTAGTTTCAACAAACACGACGACGAGCTCCGGCCTGCCCTACCGCTAATTTCTAAAGGATCTCGCTTCCCTCAGAATATGACCGATTATTTAACAATTATTCTCAATCTTTCAAGATATCACAAGCTTTCCCTCTTTTATACGAAGGTCCCTTCACGGCGACCCGATACTTTCGTTTGCGACCGAAGAAGGAAACCGGTCGGACCGACATATTTCTTATTGCGACACTCCTCGCTCCTCCTTTATCGCCTCCATCCATCCCTTCTCCTTCATCGCGTAATCGGTATCAGAATATTCACAATGAGTATCGATCGCCCGAGGGGGAGGGGGGG